GCTATCGCGTCGAAAATGCTACAGGTACTGCTGTTCTGATAAATGGAAAGTCGACCGGCCACTACATACAACGCCATAAATCTAAACATCGTGATAGACGATCCTCGAATAAAGCCCTCTATAATTCCGGGTTATCTTATCTGCGACGTCTATCGATGAGGAACGATGAACACACGGGAAAGATTTCATGCACTTTACTTCCTCACTGAGTAACTGTGAATTGAGCAAAGCGGAAAAAAATAGAACTTAAATATCTTGCACGAGAAAAATTTATAGCTCACCAAACGTGCATCTTATTTGTTGTCAATTAAATGAAAAATGTAATACATTATCTTCAAAAAATAATAAATTTTTGGTATTCAATATTGTATAAGTAACGACATATTTTCTGTATAAATTGAGTGGCTGTAAAAGAAATTATCGGGTAAATCTGTATAAAAGAATTTATCTTTCGATATATGATAAAAAGCTAAAAATAAAATTTGATTATATAACAATCCACGAGAAAAACACCAAACGTGTTTCCGTATAGATTTTATTGTTTCTGACCTATTGATAGAACTAAGAAGCGAAATCCTAACCAGAATGGAATCATCGAGACGTGTCTTGGAACACGATACGAGGATCATGACTGAAATAAATTCGTAAAAAATAATACATAAATTTTTGGTATTTTTGTTGTCAATTAAATGAAAAATGTAATACATTATCTTCAAAAAATAATAAATTTTTCAATATCGTATTCAATATCGTATACGAAACGACATATTTTCTGTAGAAATTGAATGGCTGTAAAAGAAATTATCGTGAGTAAATCTGTATAAAAGAATTTATCTTTCGATATATGATAACAAGCTAAAAATAAAATTTGATTATATAATACATCCACGAGAAAAACACCAAACGTGTTTGCGCATAGATTCTATTGTTTCTGACCTGTTGATAGAACTAAGGAGCGAAATCCTAACCAGAATGGAACTGAATCATTGAGACGTGTCTTGGAACACGATACGAGGATCATGACTGAAATAAATTCGTAAATTTTTTTCTTGGCACGCTATTTTCCTAGATTTGCAGTTTTCATATTTGATAATACAAGATAAAAATATCATATCGCGAACGTGCGATCTTGTATAAATCGATATATAGATATAAATAAATTCATATATAAAATATTAAAGTCGCACAAAGATGACGTATCATTTCGAAATTAAATAATATATATCGAACTTGCCGACTAATACTATTTATTATTATTATCATAATATGTCATATATTATTAATGTATATTAGACAAAGTAAAAAGATTCGACGTTTTTAATCGGGCTCGCAGAGAATCGCCCAACAGGATCGTCTCGTTATAATCTTTCGATTCATCTGACTCGATGACAAGTCTCCCACGAGATACACAAACAGTCTCCCGGAATCCGTAAACAGGCGGCAATTTTTTTTTTCTCCTCGACCAAAGGGAAACCGAAGGGAGATGCACGTCGGTCCCGTGATTTCACGAGCGTGTCTACCTCGCCCACGCCTTACAAACGGTCGCGCTCGAAAACAAATCTTTCCTCTCCTAAACGTTTTACAGATAATTAACTGACATTAACGTTCCATTCGTCGGGCGTGGTTACGTTCGCGGTTAGCTCGTATTTCTCCACGAGAGTCGGTGCATATGTGTTTTTACGAGCGATAAGCATCGCTTTTCCAGCGAGATATTCCGCTCCCCGTGTGTGTATCTCGTTCCCCCTATCCTCCAGTCTCGTCCTGAACAACAACTCGACCGTCCGAGCGGATTACTGAATTCATTGGCTTCGTTTTGTACGGAGAACTTCGCCTCCACGTCGCCGACATCGTTTCTCCTTGGCTTCCGCGCAATTAAGGTCAACTCGACGATTTGTCGAGAGCGATTTCTTTCGGAGCTCGCACACAGGAAACGGGCAAATGTATATCTCGTAAAACTAACATGTGTTATTTCGTAATGTAATAATATCGCATGCAACTCTTCTTTGTTACACATTGTGCAAGTGATATGGTTTGTGTGCACGTACATTTTAATTAAATAACATACTATTCGTAACATCTTCACGCGTATTAAATTATATAGGAAGAGTAATATCCTATGATATTACTCTTTGAAAACCACCCGACAACCAGCTTACAAATAATATCAAATTAATTACGAATGGAAATTGTCAAGCACTCGGAAACTCTTAATTATTAAATTGCGTACATCGAAAACTCGCTTAGTAATGTAACGAGACTATTACGGTCCTTCGGTATATCGTTATTACTTGAAATTAAATGAAGTGAGATCAAATTATATAGGTGAAATCAAATCGATAAGTAGACAGATACAGAAGCTCGCGATGCGTGTGGCGCGTCTGCGCGATCGGAAATCCGTGAGCGCGATACCGCCAATAAAATATACATGTACAGTCGCAGCTTTGTGTGTAGGTGCCGCGCTACATCCCACGTGGCGTTCCCTACACGGACGTCTCGCGTGTATTAATCTGCATAAACTCATTCCTATGCAAACGAAGAGATTCGACGTTGAACTAGGATATCACAGGAAGCCTCCGTGGCTTACATCGCGGCTTAAACGAGCTTCTATACGCGCACACGCGTGCAGGCGCATGCCGTTTTCCCGCGCAAGCTGCTGGTGTGAGTATAGATAAATATAGGATATAGATATATAAGATAGAGATATGTATACGTGTGTATCGTAAACGATACCGATCGTAAACGGGATCTCCTTGGCTGCGCGTCGACGGCATAATAATTGCGAAATCCTCTCGTTTCCCTCGTAGACGACGCTGGCCGGCCGTCCAAAAGGACGGCGACGACGAGAAAAGTGGCACCTGCCTGCTGAAACGATCGCGCGATAATCTGTCCCCTCTGTAGTCTGCGAGATGAAAAGAAAACAATCGATGAATAATTTCGTGGCCAGAGTGCTTACCGCGCGTCCTGGGGAATTGATTTCGATGAAGCGCATCTCGGTTAAGTCCCTCATGAATACAATGAGGAGATAAAGCTTTTACGGCGGCTCGACGTATAAACAATATTGTTTTTCCGATAATTTTTAATTTAATACTTGGTGCTTAGGCAGATTAAATGTTTACGCGAGAAACGGAGCATTTCGTTGGAGCAACCACGTTTTGCTAATCAACGGACCTTATTGTATATCGTTACGTTTAATTAAACGTTGCGACAATCATCGAGAAATTTGCTTTCATTTAATTGTTTTTCTTTTTTATCAATTCTTCTTAAATAAGTTCGCTTCGCCTAATAATTTTTCCCTACCGTATTTTAATCTCAATAATATATTTTCATTGTCTATGTACTATAATATTATTTAAATATTTCTATATAAAACAAGCAAAAAAAATTATTCGCTCGAGATAAAAAATGTTATATCCTCTGACATGATTTAATTATCACCTTCATAACAGAATGGTTAATTTCCATGCGCGAAAAATACACGAACACGATTCGTTTACTTCATAAATATTCAATCACTCGATTATGGAAAATAAACCTACTGATACGATCGTCATTCATATGTTGGTTCGAAAGTCAGCAAGCGTAATACATCATGCCACTCGTTTCGAAGTCAAATAAGACCCATACAATAAGAGCATCCTACGATCGAACAGCTGTGAAGGATTTCGCAAGTGGAGAGACGCGCGCTCGATGCTCTTACCGGTTCTCCCTACGACAAGGAGAGAGAAACGGCGGCGGGGCGCGCGCCGTAGAAGAGATTTTACACCGTCGCGACTATAAGCTGCATGTATCTTTAATGCGGAGCACGCGAGGCCTACGACCGAACGACTTCTTACTACCGTTCTCGCTATTACTTATTCACCGTCGGCGCAATTACTAGCGAATACTCCATCAAACTCGAGACACCTTCCTCACCATCAGAGAGATGGAGAGCGCCGCGAGTTACGCTCGTTGTACACACCATCTGACGTGTCTCGAAGTTGCCCAAAGTGGGAGCATTATCGGCTGATAGATTCGTAAACCAATAAGGAGTTATTATCGACGCGTTCCTAGATGCCTTTCAAGCTCTGTGAAAAATTCTCGAGTTAAAAATCATCTGCCTCTTGTCGAGCATGTTTACGTATAGCTAACACGCGTCGCATTCTCGTGTCATTCCTTCCTGGAAGGTGCATGACATGCGTCGCAGAAAGTCTAACTCCGGTCTTCAATTTTTATAAAAAAGAAACGATTCCATGCACGATGCACAATAACTGAGTAAAGTTTACATTTATTGTTGGATTTACGTGGCATTATAATATGATTCACGCATTATTCTCTATAGAATTTTGATTTAATGAAAAAGTCAGGAATAAAGCTAATAAAAGCCGAGCATAGTAAATGAATGCGCTTATATTGTGCAAAATTTTTTTTAATAAACGTTTCGATCCTTTTTTGATCTTTTAATACGAGGATAAATAACGTACTCTGTATGTTTAATTATGTATGTTTTATTATTAAAAAGAATTTTTACACAATATAGGCGCACTTATTTATTGCGCTCAATAACTTCTTATTAGCCCTATTCACTATCTTTCAGAATCTTTTTTCTGTTTTTATTTGACTTGATGAAACCCCTTTAAATAGAAAAATTATTTAGTTAAATATGCGTCTGAGATTCGATACTAGTAAAAATATTTGAAATATTTCATACAAAAAATAAATAATTGCATAACGCAATGAATAATTTTACGGTAAAATTTTTAAAGGAACTATCTTTGCATTGTAACCGTATCACTCGTGGGAAACGAATTATAATTTTCGAATATACGCCACACGCAAGTCGCGAGAATATCCTCAACATTCAGAATGGCATTCACACCCACGATAACTACGCGCATCATTTCTCCAGCGAACTCATTTTCCGAGAGCAGTCAACAAAACGACCCGCTTTGTCGGGCGTCTTCCCAGCTCGACAATTGTCAGGCATGAAATAACGCGATTGCGCTCTTTATTTTTTGTTTCAGGTTGACGAGGCAGAAATGGCACGGCGGGAATCTCGGTGAGGAAAGGACGAGGGTGAAGCCCTCGCAGGAAACGGGAGCTATGGTGAAAAGCTTGGATTTCCTCGCCAGAAGGGCGCCACCTGCCGTCCACCTTTTCATCGTTTTGCTCGCGCTCGCCCCCGCTTACCATGGCGTGGACCTCTGTAAGTAGCTCCTAAGCTCTAATCCGCATGCCGCTTATAGTACCCGTCGCTTCGCGTCGTGAAACTTTGTGGCTATAGCTCTTTGGCCCGTGCCGCGCGCACACAAGTTGTTTCGTTTATAAGTTATTAACGGCACGGAGGTTGCGCGACCACCCTCCTCCTACCCCCTTACAGAACTTACGCCGCCGCAGTCGACGAACTTTCGATCCGGGATCGGCTTTGACCGTGGTCATTAGGTATCTTGTGTCTGAAGACGTTGCGTCTTATCATTTGAGCCGCGCGCGCCTACATTCAACGATGTCTCGTGGGTTTTCGAGTAGGCGGAGCTTGAACATCTCGAATAAGAAATGACTATCGTACTTAAGTGTACTTAATATAACATATATGGAATAATATACTTTCATATATAATATATCTAATACTCATAATAATAATAGATCCTTTATGCCAAAATTTTGACGATTAATAATGAATTAATGCTTGATGTATCATTGTCGTATTTCATTTCGTATTCGAATACCGTTATCTTTTACTTTCGAGAAATTTGATTCGTGATACATTTGAACAGTGTTGTTATAATTTTTAATTAACACATAATTGGCTTAAATACATATATATGCTTGAATGGAAAAGCTTATAAATCAACAAGATTATCACATAAAGAAAATCTCTCTCTTCCGAGAAGTGTAGTGTGCTCCATCTTATCGTATTAATAATAAGTAATCACCTTCCGCGAAGCCCTGTTCGTGAGAAGCAACTTAATAGAAATAGATTTCCGGACGTAGAAGAAAAATCGCATCGTAGCCGCGATAACGGAACGCTTAATAATTGCGTCCTTCCAAACATCCTCAGCGATTTCCTCCCTTTCCTCGTAATTTATCTTAGTTGGGAAATAATCAATGATGTTTCTCTCGAGTCCTATCTTCCGGACATCTTCCAAGAGCAGAATCGCATGAGATGTCAGACGTCTCGAGGAGTTAAACGGAGGGAAAAATCGGCGGTGAGTGTCGCATTTATAGGAACCCTTATTCCCGATCGATTTACGAGCGCGATATCTTACAGCGACTCGTTAGACCGGACGCGACGACAAAGGAAATGGATTCCGTCGCGAAACGGTCCAACTTTATCAAGGGACGGTCGTGAGAATTCCAGCGGGGGGTGCGCGATATATACGTATATACATATCGGCCGGACCTTCATTAATAATAATAGCTCGCCATGTTGGCCCGCCACGAATCTCGATCGGATCTCTTCCTCCCTTTGTTGGCACGACTTTCCTACCATCGATTCGAATCGCTCCCCCTCGCGTCGCTCTCCCCCCGCTGAATTCGAAGACATATATTAGCGACGGAATCGCGATGTACCGAGCTGACCTTCATTAATAATAATAGCGAGCCCGTGCGTCGCGTCGGTCCAGCAATCCCGTCCCGATGATCTCGAACTCGCTCGGAGCGCGAGGACACGATTTTCCCGTTCTATCGCGCACCATGGAATCTGAAGACATATATTAGCGGCGAGCATCGCGATATATCGGGAGGAGCCCTTCATTAATAACAACAAGCAGCCGGCGATCGGCATTTCCTCCCTTTGTCGACTCGACTTTCCTGCCGTCGATTCTAATCGGCGCGCGCGCGCAAATCCAGCGAGGAAGTCGGACGTACATATATTGGAGCACCGGAATCGCGATATAACGAGGAGAGATTTCCCGTTAATAATAGCGGCGATTAATCCGTTCGACCGGTTTTCGATACGATGCGCGGCGCATTTGTAGGCGTGCTATTTTCCGTCCGTTCGATTACGATCGAGATCGCGCTGTTCCAAGTGTGCTGGAGGCCTGCCCCGGCCCTGTATTAGGGTCCATCCGCCACTGATATTTACAGTGAGGATTTTAGTATATTAAAATCTAGTATATATACTAGAGGGATCTTAGGGGATGTGGTTACTCCACAGCGTTGTACTCGTCGGTGCCGTTTTCATACGGAAGGCCAGTCGGAAGCCAGGATGCACGCGAATATCTCTACCGGCACTTATTTGGTCAGCGAGCGACCTTTCAGGGATCCTCCATGGCAATCGGTATTGCATCTATCGAGCGAGATATCAACATCGCTTTGGAGCATATCACTGTGTTAAGAAGCAACATTAGGTGTGAGATCCGAATAGCTCAGTGGTCTAGAGCATTTATATATATATTTATATAATAAAAATTAATAATAAAAATAATAAGAATAATAATTATAATACCATATTTTTCTGCTTATCTCTGTGGTGCTTCGATTGAAAGTGGCGTTGCAAATTATAATTGTATGGTGTTTGATAATTGCACATCTCACATACGTATGTCTAAAAAAATAAATCTGCAAGAACCTTTGCTTCGATTCACAACGTCTTAATAAATTATAATTATGTATGAGACCTCATATTATTATAACATTATTATAAATGTGAGGTGCAAGTGCCTGGATCGGGATTCAAATCCGAGTCTTTCGCTTTCCGAGTAACTGCTATAGATCACTGAGCTATTCAGACCTCACACCTAATGTTGCTTCTTAACACAGTATGCGACTCCAGAGCGATGTTGGTATCTCGCTCAATGGATGTAATACCGATTGCCATGGAGGATCCCTGAAAGGTCGCTCGCTGACTAAATAAGTACCGGTGGAAATATTCGCGTGCTGGCCTTCCGTATGAAAACTGCATCGACGAGGACAACGCCATGAAGTGACCACATCCCCAAGATCCTTTTAGTATATACTAAAATCCCCACTGTACCAAATAGCAGTAGCGGATGGACCCTAATATAGGGCCGAGGCAGGCCTCTAGAGAAAGATAGGAATGTATGTGGGAGGAGGTCGTGTCTTTACAATCGAAGCGAGATGCCATTAGCGGCACATTGTACTTTTCGCGATAGATAATCCTCCGGATCTGCTTCCGTTATCATTTCCGATCATCTCTCCGCGGGTATGCGGGAATATGACAAAGGCCCGCCAGACGATTCCGGTTGCAAACTCACGCGCAAGTTGCGTGTCGCGTAAATTGCGAGCTCTTTATACCGTTAAGCGGCGTCGACGACCTCCCCCTCCTTCCCCCGCGACGTTTCCACCGCTCCTGCAGAGATTCCGTTCGGCAATAAAGTACGTTGGATTAAAACGTAAGACCAAAATACACATTTCACTCCGGTCGGCGCCGCCGACCGGGGGCGGAATTACGAGTGAGGGGGGGGGGCAGAGGGTGGAGAGCGGTATCGTCGGAAGAACACTGCAAACTTTCGCCGGTATTAATGGCCACCTACATGTTCGTGTTCTGTTTCGTTGGCTTAGCGCGGATTCCTTCCGTTATGCTCCCCGGGCACAAAAGCTGCATCCTCCTCCCCCACATTGCCTACAGCGCTACATCTGCACTCGATATCCGGGCATTAGGCATTATCGTTGTCGGCCGGGTGGTACCGTACATACATACGTCGTCGGACCTGCCCGGGCTACCTGAAATTTTAACAGTTTCCGCGCCGCCCCGTAATGGTATCGTTACTTGGCGTGTAAACCGTAATCGATGCCGCGCTGTATCATGCACGTGGGGCTCAAGCTCCGGGCGTTTACGGCTCCCCGATCGGGTCGTAATGCCCGAATTAGTTACGCTTCGATATGCGCTCCTTTGTCGAATTACAAGGCCTCGACGTACACACGAATCGTCGGTGAATTTGCCAGCTTTGACACAATACGCGCGACGGAGCATCCGGTCCGCTAGAATGAACGGCCGATACTCTCTGTGTTTCCGAGACAAAGAGCCGATAACGCGTGGGCGGTTAATCGCGACTTAAAAAAAAAAAGGAGAAAAAAACTCGAGATGTACCTTCCATCGTCCCTAATGATACCGCCGTGACGCGAACGATATGAATGCGAACATACGTCATACTTTGTTGGAACTTTATTGCGGACGCATCGCGGGAACGCCTCTCGAAAATGCGCGCGTCGGAGAGACCGGAATAATGTATGCAAAGTAGACGGTATCGTTTCTTCGATGGCCCTTAACCCTGTCATTGGCGTTTGCTGCTCGTTCAAGTAGATACGTCGAGGCAGGGGGTTGACCGATCGCGCCCGCGCGGGGAGAATATTCTTTTCGGGTATTAAATCTTTGGAAGATAAAGCGCTTTATGCTCCTCATTAATGAGCAGCCACAAAAGCCTGTAAAGTCGAACGCGCGGACGACGACCTCACCTGAAAAGTGCCGTCAATTTATTACGATCGGCGTAAAAAAAATCGCGCTCTTACGATTCCCGTATCGTTTCACTGCTCCACACAGAAAAAACATAAGTGTCAAATCAAAACTTATATACTTAAACTAACGCGTTCATTGTTTCGTATATACGCAACAATTTATAATCTTCTTGGAAGAATTTAATAATTTTTAATTTCAACAATATTATAATCTTATTTTAATATTGTAATTGTCATCCCAAGAATATATAATTATTTAATTCTACTTTAAGAAAATTATAATCTTTGATTTAAAAATGTTATTTTCCATCTAACATTGTTTCTTTTCCATTCGAGAAAATTAAATCTTAAATCACAAGAATATATTTTTCTCGATTGAACTATATAAAATGGCTTCATTCAAGTAAGCAATTATTCGAGCAATTATATTTTCCTTTAATTAACGCGATGCAATCTCATTTCAAGATTTCCATGTTAAAATTAAATATATTTTCAAAACGAAAATGTCCTTTTTTCTGTGCACATTATCGACGTTAAACGCGGAGCGTTACACAACGACGTGATAAATATTTCGCGGGACTATCTCGGGAAATCAACCGGGAAGATACCCCCGTGCTCGATCAGCCGGCGAAGTCAGTCGGCCCTCGCAAAGCAGCCGTGTTCATCTATGAAACAACTATTAGATCGGTCCAGGAGATATGGAAACGTTGAGGCGACCCACCGTCCTCCTCTCCGCATCCGTTCCCGTTTTTCCCTCCCCCGATCTGACCGTAACTTCCACCCGCACGACACGGGCGACTGTACACGCGAGCGTAAACCGGCTATCGCGCGGATCCATCTCGGTTAGCTGGTTATTTAGTCGTTTATGATCCGGCCGTGATGCAGGCCGATGCGCGCCTACAGGAGGCGCGTATAAATTCCAAACCGGCTAACCTCGACGACGCCACGTTTGTTTGTTGCAGCCCAATGCATCGCGCCGCTCGGCATGGAGTCCGGGGCGATCCCGGACGCGGATATCAACGCCAGTTCCAGCTTCGACACCGGAAACGTCGGTCCCCACCTGGCACGGTAAGCGACAGTTTTTCATTCGGATAGCCTGCCGGGTCGCCATCGATCACTCGTATCTACCGGCGCCTTCTGTTGCGCTCGATGCGCCCGCGATCTGGCTGCCGTAACGCGTCCGATATCGTAGGACCTGCATATAGAGGTGTGCAGGTGTATACGTGTGCAAAAAAAAAATAGATCCCGGCCGCGTCTTTTGCGCGGGCAACGCGTAAATCAAACCCGAAATGCAGCGTGTATTCATAAAGATAATCAAGACTTTCGCTTTCGTTTTTATTATCGCGAAGTAATGAATTCGAGCGCCGTTCTCCGCCCTTAGTTTTAACCCGTTTTTAAAAGCAAAAGCGGTGATTTTTTTCCGTCGACAAGATAAATATATCGCTTCACGGAAGGGCTAATTGTAACGCCTCCGAGCGCGCGCATGAATACCAAAAGCTCCCGCGAAACGCCCGGCTGTGCTCGTTAATACGTAAAATCCGGAATATCAGGTTTATAAGTCTATGGCGAAAGACGTTATTACGCGCGAACAAAGAGAGCAACGCGGCCGCGAACGTAATTATTTCTGATCTAACGGGCGTAGATTTAACCCCGCTTATACGCGCGAAGACTAACAACTAACGGAGATTAGTCGACGTCTCTTATCGTCGCGCCGTGAAAACGAAAAAGTTAAACGCCGACGGTGGCCGCGCGAGAGAGAAAGCTTATGAAATCTAATTATATAAATTAACGCCTATCCCCGCGGGAATATAAATTCTCGCAGCAACAACGTATAATTAAGTAATCCGCGTACCTTTCCGATGGCTATCGTTTCTCGTTTGGCACTTGCTCGCGCGAAATGAATATTTATAGAGCTGTTAAACCGATCGTCGATTCCCCCCTCCCCCCTTTCGCCCTCCCCCTCCGCCCCCCTGAGCGCCGGTTTGTTCTTCGGTTTAAAAACAAATTTATTTTTAATCGCGCCACTGACGAAAATTATTCGACGCGAATTTATGGCCGATCGGGGATTCGCCGCCCGTTGCGTTCTGTTTTGCGTTAATAATTTCTACGTCATTACTGGATCCGTCGCGTGCTATGTTTACGCTCGCAATTATTTATAACAGCGGCAACATTGATAGCTGCCGAAAACTTAAAAAAAAAAAAACCGCTATTCCGCATTTTCGAAGAGATTAATATTTCAGCATGAGCTTTATTACGAGTATATACATTTAACGTAACTTTTTGCTTTACGGCGAGTTAATATACGATTAAGTACGATGCTAGAATTAATTCCATTCCAAATTAATTTCCACCTGTATTTCGCCCTCTGTATTTTGTCTCGCTGTTTCGCATCGTTCGTTTCGCCCCTTCCGCAGCCCGCAAACATTAGCAAAATAGCTGCAGCGCAAAACAGAGATCGCCTTCAGCGGACATGCCTCGCAGGAGCCTCTCGTCTTGTAATGCAATTATCACAAAAGGACCTTTGACGTCCTATCCTACCTAGTCTAAAAAGAGTATTACACCTGACTAGAGTGGTAAAAGGGTTGGCCGTGCAACGCCTCTGGTAGCCGTCGGTGCAACGCATGAATACGAGATGCAACTGGCAAGGCGTACGTGCTCCAAACTAGCTCCTCGACCCCCGTTCTTTCTCCCTCGCTCGCTCGCTCGCTCCCTCGAATTTCTCTCCCTCTCGCGTTTAGATATTAATGCGTGGGGCCCCGGTATTCGCCGGCGGTTTGCAGTGCGCAGCGGCAGGTTTGTACGAATATTCCATCCCACGGGACGCGAATCCCAGTCCGGCGGGCCGCGGTTGTAGAGAACCGAACCGGGTGCGCGCACGAGGCACCGGATCGTGGTATATACATGGAGCCGTTAGTCGACGGCCCCGCGGGCTCTCTGATATTAATACATTCCATTACCGCAGACAATGACCGGCTGAATGGGCCTCCGAGTCTTGATGAGCTCTGCTGCGCCTCCACGCCCGGGATTCTCCTCCGGCCGCGCACGTCACCGTCTAATTTAATACAGGGCGGCCTCGGGCGCGCTGGGTGCCGCGGACGTTTACAACTGCTCTTTCCTCCTCCCCTCTTTGTATCGCTCGACGAAAAGAGAAGAGAGAAAAACCGGCAATTGCCCTACCATTTTCTTCGGTATTCCGCGAGATGATAGGCCGACCAACATTTTGCCCCGATACGAATTACCGCGGTTACGGCGCATTTTTCTTTCTCGTTCACCACCGAGCGTCGAGGGCGCGCGCTCGGGGGAAAGGATGGAGGAGAAAAAAAAAAAAATAGAAAACGCGGAGCCGGGTGTTTTGCGAGCTTTCACGGACTCTCGTTATACTGAAAACGTCCGCCGTCGCGAATTAAAACAACGCGCGTTTGGAGATGCGCGTCGGTTACATGAGAAAAATCTCTCGGAATAAAAACACTCGAAATGTAAATGCACAAGTTGTTCATAATTTGAATATTACGTTAAGGTTGACGTAGAGCTCGCGCATAAATATATGTCGGAGGACAGATTTCACTCGCGCAATTTATTGCGCGACGCTCATTTTGACGCTCCCTAAAAAAAAAATCTCTCTCGCGAGAAAGAGCGCCAAGTTTCCGACATATGGAAGAAAGATTTGTTTTTCTCGAATACGACTTTGTTGATTTCGATCGAAATTGAAAATCTGATTTACAACACCGTGAGAGCTGCGATAAATCACCCGTGAATGGAAGAATAAATAGTTTTCGCGGAACGCGTATCGCGAGAGCTAATGGAGCGCGTCTTTTCCAATTATCGAGTGAAAAATTTTTGACGTACAATCGGCGCGAAAAAGCAACTGCATTGCATTTTGCACCCGCACACGTTCCTTTCAGGAATCGCGCAGCTGCAAGTTCTTTCGCACGTTTCCGCCATTCCTTTTCTTCGTATTTCCGTTCAACGGCATTTCTAGAATGGCTGCAATTAAGACGCCAAGTAGAAACGAGCGAAATAGGAGAAATTGGACGTTGGCTTGTGAGAAATCACGGGACGACTTTCGCCGCGTAATTTTGTATTTGGTACGAAAATCTAGTCCGCGCGTTTTAATTTATCTGCCGGACAAACTGGGATTATACGTGCTAATTACATCGATGCATATCATTAAGCTCGCGAATTTATTTTCAACGGGAGAGTGGAATATTTAATTGTTATTATTCGCGTTGTAAATATATACCGTTAATATCGAACCTTTGTACGGTAATCGATGGCCGTTTCCATGCATGTGCTTTTACCGCGTACATTCAGCCATGGAACACGATACGAATCATTTTCGTAAATAGAAAAACGGCAGGAAACTGCACGATACAAGATATTTACTTCGGCAAGAACGTGTCGAGTTAGCGAATTTTTACAGACTCGCGTAATAGCTTTTACTTAGAGAGAGTCATTATTTGATACACTATAATTTAGAAAAGCACAGCTAAGACGATAGTTATAAAAGAGATAGACGCGCCATTTATAGTCGTGGCAGACTTTTGCGCATCAAGTTTGCGATACCAAAGTGGATCCTTGATCTTCTTCTTAACACCGAAATTATGGAGAAACACTCAAAACTATAGAGAATGATTGGAATAGAGACGCCTGGAGCATCGCGGGCAAAGAGCTCTCCAAAAATAACTTTCGATCTAACTTAATGTTTTATAAATGTACCAGAGATGATGTGTTTAATATTTATTTCCTCTTCAAAACGTGCGCAATTGATATATTTGAAACAATTTTAATTGAAAACGATTAATTATTTTATCATACAAGTGTACTAATTGTAATATAGACACAAATTAATATCTAAAAGTATTGAAAAAGATTAAAATATTGATATATTTTTTGTTATTTTAATTTATTTAAATTGACATTCTAATTCAAAAATATATATTTGCACTGTAGAACGGCAAGTATCAGTAAAGATTTAATTGGTAAATGCCAAGACTGTCTTTTTGGTAACATTTATTGTACGAAAAAGTGTTTTGCTTATCTTGCATCGACTGGCGAAAATATGGCAATCGTTGAGTTTATTGTCGCGATTAACTCAATTTAATTCGGGAAAAAAAATATATATATATATATTATCAACAAAAGAGGCCGAGTATCTCGACAGAAGTATTTCGCTATTTATTCGCGTTCGTGGAGAATCACTTTGGAAACTTCGCAAGTAGATATTCGCGCATAATATATCGGAGTTCGAAATTATCGCTTTATAAAAGGAGACTTTTTTAGACGAATTTAACGAGCAGAAATCGAGAAAATGTGATTAAGAGATAAATGCAAAGCAGCATACATCTAAGGAATAATTTCGTTCAGCGGATTCGTCCCCGGCCAGCGAACCGATATTCCCTCTCGACCTGAATATTTAATTACGAATAAAATTGTTCCGACAGTACGCGAGATATCCAATTAAAATATTTTAATATAATTAGCTAGTGCGTAAAGCGAGGAATTTCTTCATAATCGAATACATATCGAAGATCATTATCCCTCATCCGTGCTCTATATGTATTAAGGTGGAAAATAACTCTTGGCTTTTCTGCCTGACGATCATTCAATCCGCAACGATAACGCGCGATAAAAATTCCGCCGCGTGACAGATTCAATTTTCGTGACCGACAACGTCGTCGTCAAAACGGTAATAACGGCGAAATCTTTTTTTTTTCACTGCGAAATTAAATTCTGACCGCGGCTGACGGGACGGATGCTATTGTCGTACGAAATCGCGCGCGAATCATTTTCCACCTTTTTCGATCGACCCTCGTGCTCTACCACTCGCCGCCGGCGACGACGACATGTCCGTCAATCTCCCCGATCGATGGTTTGCATAATGACGGCAACACGCATGGATAGCAAGCGGTCCCGCTGTCACGTGGCCATTAATTCCGGCAAACGCGAAGAATCGGCCGCGAGGCGATTGACGCGATGGAAAATTTAAGTTTGCCACGCCGCCCTCTCTCGCCTCGCTCGATTTAATGCCGTCCGTCCGTGTCAGTCGTACGGACGACATGGACGACACAGAGGTCTTCGGTGGTTCGGTGTTGTGTTCCACCGTCGAGGGAACGATTATACCGGATCGTCTTTTTGGGAGAACCAAAACACGGGGACCACACACCTCGACACCACGATTCTTCCTCTCGCTCTCGCGACCACTCTTGGAAAGTTATTATAAATAGAACTTGCGAGAGAACGCCGGTATTTTGAACGTCACCGTGGATTTTTGACGATATAAAACGCGCAAAGTGAGATGTTGTGTTTCCGTAGAAGCAAATTCGCATTTGCATGCATTTACATTTAATTTAGATAGCGAAACTTTGTAATTCAACGCATGAAATTTCTATTAAAAATCATATTTTTGTGCCGAAAGGCTAAAATATTTATTTCGAAATAAATTCTTGCATTATAATTTCAGACAATGCTTTTTTATAATTATAACGCATCGATATCTTGCGAAAAATTATACACTTCTGTACAAAATATATCGATGTATAATAGCAGTATATCATTATTTTATAATGCAAACTCATTTGTTTATTTTCCTTAATGATATGCATCCTTAATGATATGCATCATTATCAAGTGACATTGTATAATGTTATATTCAGCATCGTTGAATATACATTTTCGTTTTAAATGTTTATTCTCGTTAAACTCGCGTTGTTCGATCTCGCAATCGATCGGATCGCTAATATCGTCGATATAGAAAATTAAAATGCTAGAAAATTAAAATTCATCAGCTTTTTGTGTAAATAATATCGATCAAAATTAGAAACTCGCGAAAAATAATTTTTTCTTTACATATTTAAATTACACTTGTTGTTTACACAAGCATCATATAATTTTTCCAGAAATTGCGTCTATCACAAGTATATCTTTCTCCATTTTTCCCTACGAAAATTTTAATAAAAAATTTATTCTATTTGCCTGCTGTATTGTCAAGGATAGTTCTGAATACGTGCTTGTTAAAAATGTATAAATTGAAATACCCTGATATTCGTGTAGCCTTATTTTCCCAAAACGATAGAGAGCTCCAATTAGAACTTGTGACTTGTCATTGCTCCACCTTCAGCTAACAAGTCGGTACGAGGCCGGTTGTTAACGATAAAGAGGTACGCTTCCACCACGCAGGTTGTAAATCTCGCGAAAGCAGCCACGGCTATTATGACTATACGAGCAGGCAGACGCCGTTATTGAGAATGCAGTCGCGTTATCACGCTCGACTAATGACGAAGGCACGATTATTAGCACCTTGTGGCTCAGCCTCGATTCCTCGATGCGACGCGACACACCGTAAACAGCTCTATTTATATTCCTCATTATCGGAAAAGATTATTATAATCATCTCGCGCGCGCACCGTTTCATTATAATTTGTATCTCATTTTATAGCAGTAAAAAAAAAGACTCGTATAAAGTACAGGATCGTCCCTTCGTCGGTGTAATGTAGCGAATTGTTATCTTCCTCGCACGTTGAAATACGTTTCGAGAGCTCTATTTGCGCCGAGTCTGCGAGACTGTTCCTGCACAGCGATTCCTAATCTGCAATTTGAGAAGAATACACCTACCCGTATATAACTATCCGTACATTCTCGACGTATATAACGCCGAAAAGGAGCACCACTCTTAGTCGAGCATTTAAACGGTCCACGCAATTAGGGAAGGCGCTTCGCGCTTCATGTTTTATTCATGCTAGCCCCGGCGCAGAGCTCTCCTTGCCTTGCTTTCGACCCTTCGAAGATTAAAACCGAAGCACGGTACTCGCACAGCTTGAACGTATAAATGGCCGCGTATCCCTGTTCGACCCGTATCATCCGCGCGATGATACGTGGTCACTCGCGAATCTACGATTTTCCCGCCCGTATGTAAATTTCGCGACTATCGAGCCGGACTTTGGAAATCTCGATAAGCTTCCAGATTCTCGATGATCTCGAGAGGACGAGCGGCGAATTGGAAAGCCCATTCTTTTCGTTTGCATTTGCGACTATTCATCAATTCTCCTTCTCTCTCCCTTTCATCAGCAATACTAACGAATAGAGTGTATTCTTTAAACCTTAGATATGTCTTAGATAATAATTTGACAATTTTATGTATAATATATCTGACGCAGAAATACTATTTTCATTATCTTTACATGAATAGAAATATATATTTTTCTACAAATATTATTGAATTACAAACCGTCTCTCGAGAAAAGAGGGCACAAAAAAGCGAAATATCTTTTTATTTTAATTTTAAATCTTTCAAGCTTCATTAAAATGCAATTCGGATTCGCGTTGTGTGCACAGCTCGTACGGCGTCAGCGAAATAATATTCGAAAGAGAAAGAGAGAGAGAGGACGAAATCTCCGAATTCTCGCGCACGTAAACGCGATAATATCGGAATTCGGTGCGAGGACTTCAATGGTCGACCGCGCGTCGGTTGATCTTCAGATAGCGCAAGATGAACGGTGCTGGCGAGGAATTTAACCCGATACTTTCACATCTAATTAGATCGTTACTTTTATGAGCGGACCGAACCGAAAACATACACGGCTACTCGGAATTTAATGGCATTTTAAATCGGTGATCGAATGAAAAGCATGCTGCTAAAAATATGAATATAATTTTAAACATCTCAGCTTGCATAGCAATTTATAATTGCGTCAAGCTTAAAAGTTTAATCAAATTCTCCTACAACTTTTGAATTTCAAAGACGCGTTATAAAAATAATAAAATGACATTCACGTAGGAGATTTATAAATTTATAAATTTAAGAAAATATATATTTAGAAATTTTCTTAAAATTAAATATTAAAAGAAATTAATGTAAAAATTAATTCGATACTCGATTATTGATGTTATAGATTGAAATCGGAGAACCTTGGTGGCGCCTGGTGTCCTAAGGACCAAATCACCAAGGAAGCTCGAGAATGGCTGGAGATCGACCTTCATTCGATCCACTTGATCACGGCCACCGCTACCCAAGGCCGTTTCGGGAACGGCGTTGGTGTTGAATTCGCAGAGGCGTATCTCCTAGAATACTGGAGGCCGCGACTGGGCAAATGGGTTCGATATAGAGACATCAAAGGAGAAGAGGTGAGCGCCTTAACTTAATTAAAGATTCTCTATCGTAGCGCCAGATTACCGTAGCTAAAATGTTGCCGCGAAGTTGTTGGGCATTTTCTGAACCGAGTTGTTAAATCCGAGTACTTGGAGCCGCTATTATCTGCTTATTACCTTCATGTTTCAATCAATAAATTATTAAAATAGAGAAATTATATCAATAGTTCTTTAATCATAAATGTGTGCTTTGTATACATTCTAACATAAATCGCTTAATTATGTAAGCTTTCACGCATATATTTTGCAGTAATATTTATAATATTTTGCAACATATATGTACAAGAGATATTTATGGAAGAGAATAAGGATCGTATCAATCCAAAGATTTTTCTCCGACGTCTCATATTCTTAAATCGAGGAATTGAAAGGCAAAATATCGCGATACGAAAAAGCAACGCGATTCTTCAAAACTGACAGGACGTCAGATCGATGCCCGCAGTCCATTTTGACAAAACCGCTGGCCGCTATCGTGCTTTATGTCACGATGCTGGCGCCGATTTGCGCGTTTACCGACGCCAATTGATGCCGCAGCTGCCACAGTTGCGTTGCAACTGTCGAAATAGGCTCGGTCTCGATTGAGCACTGACCCGAAATAATCGCTCCCCCGACTAAGGTGTCGAGATCGTTATTCCGGTATATCCGGACAGAGCAGCGAGTTCTGTTGAAACGCGGAAGCTTTAGGGCAGCGCGTCTGGGCGAAACAAGCGCGACTTCAAAGTGTTCGACCGACGATCAAGAATCGATTGCGGGATTATCTTTGTTCGAAATGTAAGCCGCTTATCGCGAATCCGTGAGCTAATTTCGTAGCATCGGTGCGCGCCACTTTGTCGAAACCCGGCACTACGCCCGGAGCCTTCGGCTTGTCTGCTCGCGAGGGCGAATCCGTTGCGCGAGTCTCTCGGCAACTAACGGCGAAACCCGTGTTGAAGTATTAGCGGGAGCAGCTGCGGTGAGCGGAACGAGTTCGTGATGGACGCCGTAAAGTTAGGATACCCCGCATTACGTGTAGTATGCATTAGCGGCAGTATATTCCGTTCATATCTGTAGCAACGAACCGCGATCGATGCGCTTACTAACCGCGCTTAGGGCATTTTCCAGATTGGACCACTCGCAAATACAAAGACCCTTAAAGCTTAACTACAGTTCCCCGTGATCCGGCAAGCTTTTTGATACAACGGAAATGATTTATATCTCGCCACGAAATAATGCTTTACGACGGAAATGTTTTCCCTCCGATTCGAAATCGTTCCTTCCTCGATCGTTTCAAAGCAACATCCCGTACATTCGCGTACAAACGATCGGTCGGATTCGCTCGGAGTAGATTCTGTCCACATGAGGACGACTGTAAACATGAAATGGGGTCCGATATATCGTTTACCTTTGAGGGAGCTGCACACCGCGAGCATCGCCAACGGCGACGGGACACGTTCCCGGTGAACTTAACGTCGTCTACCATCATCGTCGATCTAATGTTTATGGACCACGTCGCCGTCGCCATTACGACACTTTAAGCCTCGTTCACCGGCGCATCCCCTCGGGCGCGATTCCGTAGCGGCGCAACATGCTCCCGGCTCATTAATGCACCGATGATCCCTGGTCTCGCTTTACGGCGCTAAGAAGAGGCGATACACGTCCTGAAAGGCGAGACGAAAAACCTCGCCTAACCGCTAGGTAAATTGGCCATCCGATCGGCCGTCTCTACACGTCCATCCATCCGGTTACGATCTTATTAATATTGATGGACCATCCGCGCCGGCGCTAATGCGTCGGGGGACCGCGTGACTTGGTCGTGTCCCCTTCGTCGGCGAGAAGGCACCTCGCGTGTCGCGCGATTAACTTCATGATTATTCAGTACTTTATGATTACTTCGCTCGGTTTTCTGCCTCGGAAGCAACCCTCTGGAAATATGTTCGGTCAACAATTTGCTTGAAATTTCATGATTATTTAATTTTAATTAACGAACTGGCTCTCTAGTGTGCGCGATAAATTATAACGATTAATGCATTATCTAATACGCTTTTTGCTTTTAATCGAAGAGAAAAAAACGTTTTTTACAACTCTTTTAATACCGTTTTTATCAAACAAAAAATTAATATCTTTCTAAATTAAAATGATTCTGAAAAAATGTGCAAACAACGGAAAAAATAATCGAAAACATTGACTTAAACGCATGATTAATGGCTATGCAATTGAGCAGGTGCTAATACAACGTGATCTAAAATTCCGTCCCGAGATACAGTTCCTCGAGCGTGTGACATATCCCGGTTCATCACTATTCATTGCCTTATTATCAACCTGGCGTATGTAATCCTTTTGGAACGCGTTCACACGTAAGGAGTTGTTCGTGTGTAAAATTCTGCGGTTAGCAATGGGAAAAAAAATGACAATGACGGTGAGGGAACATTTCAGTATCGTATCGATTTGTCCCTTTCGAGAAACCAAACTATTCGTATCGATCGAACGTGTCTCTATATCTTGCGTCCGATTACTATCTTGTTAATATTGATAGCCAGCTTGCATCGGCGCTAATGCACCGGAGGATTCTGCATCTCCATCGCACATGTTGAAGATGATGTCTATCGTCATCGGTACTCAACCGCGTAATTTCATGCAAACGCTGTATAGTCTCTTCGATCTCATGATTATTCATCGCTTTACCGCTAAACATAATTCGATTACTAATCTTGATACATTTTTGCTGATTAGGAACAAGATTTATTAACGCGATTAATAAATGGTTTGAGATTCGACTGTAAAAAAAATTGAAACAAATAATAAAATTAATCTGTGATATACTCTAAAAGATTCAAATGTTTGCAGAAATTTTTGTAAGTAAAATATTACAGTCCAACAATTCTGAGAACAAAAAAACACATGATAAATTATAATTTATACATAATACTTCACGTTGCTTTAATTTAAAATATCGCGTACAAATATATAAACAGATCTTTATTAATAATTTCTTTAATTTCTCTTAATAAAATTGAAAAGAAATATCTTCTCTTTGAAGATAAACGTGAAGTGGTTATGTAGAGAAATCCGATTAATTATTGTACGAGGAAATGAGATTAACTTGGCAGACGCTCGCAGAAGGAAGCGAAATTTTTGCTTCCGCAGCAAATATACCTGAGACAGCAAATATTCTCTTTCCCGCGTACCATGCTGCGGGAAATTTTTCCAGGGTCTCGCGAAGATACCCGGACGAGAGAAGAAAAACGAAAACTTGTGCGCTAAGCTTGGCGATAAGAAACCATGAGGTCCTTAACAATTTCGAGAACAAAAGAGGAGCTCTAATCTTTTTCCTCAAGTACGTGGTTGTGCGCGTGCAAGATGCCGCGCACGCACACCGACGTGAAATGACGCGAAAAAGAATGCTAATAATAATCGTGACGAGGGAAAGAGACGAAGGATGCAGGTATCGCTTCGAAAGGCCGGCAGAGGTAATTAAAACTCGAGACGCGATCTTTCTCTCTCTCTTTTCCATCTTTCATCCCCTCTCGCGCGAAGAGAGAAACACCTTCCGACTCCTTCCGCCACGCGGCTGCAACGCTCGTCTCAATAATAAATACCCCACGTCAAAAACCGACCCCACTTCTCATTAGTCTACGCGGCACGGCATGCTTCCATCGACGGACGGGAGATTAAATAGATTTTCTTGGAATCTCCGGCGTAGTAAATTTGCTCAAGTGCAGCTTGCGCAGTTCGCAGCCTGCAGGAAACGATACGTTCCGCGTAGAGAAGTTTTCTCGAAACGACGGTATTTTTTCCTCATTCAAGTTGTCAGTTTTTTTAACGAATATATAATATATATCCTTCATGTCGTCGAAATATTATGATTACCGTAAATAAATAAAACTTATTTGAGAAAAAGTTTGAGAATTCTATTCTATAAAAAAATCGATATATGTTTGTGACAACAATTTATTTTGTGAAATTTGATCGTAATATTATGTATTTTTTATTGTCAAAGTTTAGAATAAATAATCTCAAATACATGGTAGCAGCTTCATATTATTGTGCGAGTTCTTAATATGTGGGGAAAGTGAAAAATTATAGAAAGAAATTATGACTAAATTGTTGCAGCATGATCTAATAACAAGGAGGATAGGATAGATATTTCAAAATTATACACGTTTCTCTTATATAGAAAAAGTGTGCAATTTTTTAATAAGATAATTATCTTAAGACAATTATCTTTAATAAGATAATTGTTTTATATATGGAGGCTTCTTTATATTTCCTAGGTAATGCTTTAATTTTCCGACAACATCCGTAATTAATGTTCCAAACTTACATTATCCCGGGTATACTACAGCTAAACTTTTTTTGAAAATATTAATCACTTTTTTAATTGTACACTTTTATGCTATTGAGGTACTTTTAATCAGCACATCAAAGCCCATCCTTTGAGTTGCAAGCAAATATTGCCCAAAAACAGTTTGTGGATTTCGATTGCGAGTGAAATATATTCTATTTACGAATTGTATATTATATAGTGCGTTCTCATATTTTCAAACTGCTCAGTTTAAAACACAGCAGTCGTTTAAATAAAAATATATAATTAAAAAGTATTTGCGCGACTTATATATATTTTTATTATCAAGAAAGCATAATTGTAAAAAAACAATTATTCTCAGCAATAAAATACGAATATAATCTTTTTAAAAAAGACGCTATAGAAGAAGATAAAAGTAGAGGATATTGTCCATTACAAAGAAGACAATATATGGATATCTTTTATTTCCTATGGGCCACATGCTGTGTATCTAGAAACAAAAAAGAAAGAACATCTACAAATTGACCGTTCACGTTGTTAAACGCATTTATGTCCATGAATATTACATCTTATCTCCTGTTTTGGAAACAAAAAACATGGACTATTTGCTTGTCGATTATCGGGGGAAATTGTTTGAAAATAATCGACCGTTTCGTGTTGAAAAATTTTGATGATGCGTTTATCAAAAATACGT